TTACTCGAGATAAATGAAAAGAAAAAGAAAAAGGAGAGGATGAAGGAGGAGAAGGAGGGAATTGAGAAGAACGGAAAAAAGGAAAGAGAAGAAAAGAATAAAAAAAAAAAAAAAAAAAAAAAAATACAAACAAAAAAAAATGAAAAAGAAAAAAAAAATAAGACAGAAAAAAAATATCTTAATTATTTCTTCGAAAAACCGATAGAGATTAACTAGAGAGAGAGAGAGAGAGAGAGAGAGAGAGAGAGAGAGAGAGAGAGAGGAATGTTATACGTATTGAAGATGGATTTTGTATCAATTGGAAAGACGATAATAATCGTGATTGAATCATGATAATGACGTCAGCGCCAATTCAGATTCAGTTCCTATGAAATTTAATTAAAAAGAAATATGATTGGACAACGACGACGTTGCGTTTTCTTTTTTATTTTTCTTTTTTTCTTTTTTTGTTTTTTGTTTTCTTTTTTTTTTTTTTGTTTTTCTTACCTTCTTCCCTTCCAAATTTATTTACGTACACCGTGATAATAATTATCGTAAGATTGTCGATAATATTTGTTTATTTTTCTTTTCTTTCTTTTTCTTTTTTTTTTTTTTTTAAACACAACAATTAAAAAGAAACGATTAATAAAATATAATATAACGCCATGGATTACGAACGAGAAATAGCGTCGTACGGTATTGTTTCAAAATTAAAAAATGAAATAATTCTTTTTTAGTATTTTTCTTTTTCTCCTCATTTTTTTTTTCTTTTTTTTTTTTTTCCTTTTTTTGTGTTATCGTATACAATACATATACGATATATATATATATATATATATATATATATATATATATATCGAACGTTTATTCGTGCACGTGCATGTACTAGAAAAAAAGAGAGAGAAAGAGAACGAGAGAGAGAGAAAACACGAAAAAGAGTTAGAGAGTGAGAATGAGAGTGAGAGAGAAGACGAAAAAGAGTTAGAGAGTGAGAGTGAGAGTGAGAGAGTGAGAAAGAGAGAGTGGGTGAGAGAGAAAACGTATATATATATATATATATATATATATATATATATATATATATACGTGGGACCCTCCTCTCTTTTTAATCTCGAGACGCGGATAAGTGGCATAAAAGTCGCGACATTCCCACGTTCCTCGTTGGACGGATTTCGATAAGCCTGTTTGCCCTTCGAAGCACGGAATGGTCCATTGCCTTGCTGCTACACTCTCAGACCATTAGGAAAAAGAAAGAAAAAGAAAAAAGGACAGAGAAAGAGAGAGAGAGAGAGAGAGAGAGAGAGAGAGAGAGCGATAGAGCGCAATAAGAAAAAAGAAAAAGAAAGAAAGAATTCGCTGATATTTAAGGCACGTTTTATTCTTTATTTCTCTCTCACTCTCTCACTCTCTCTCTCTCTCTCTCTCTCTCTCTCTCTCTCTCTCTCTCTCTCTCTCTCTCTCCCTTTTTCCCTTTTTTTTTATTCCCTTTTATTTTTTGCTTTTTCTTTCCTTCTTCTCCCTCTATTTTTTTTTCTCCCCACTCTTACGACTCTTACGCGATACTTTTAATTTGTACGGGACGGATCGAAAAGATTTGATTTTTGGTCGAATTCGAAATGAAAATTTTAAAAAATTAAAAAAAAAAAAAGCAAAAAAGAAGAAAAAGAATTGACATACGCAAAGTCTAAAGTTCGTAATTTTTGTTGTTCTCTTTTCATATTCCTTTTTTATTATCCCTTTTAAAACCAACTCTCGTTCGAACGTCTATCATGTTCAAAATTATCGATCGATCGTATCGAACGTAAAAAAGTGGCAAGAACGTGTGGACTTGTAATTTGCGTTGATGAAAGAGTAGAAAAGAAAATAAAAGGAGAAAAAGGAAGACGAAGAAAATGAAAGAGAAGAAATTAGAAATGAAAATAGAAAAAGGAAAAAAAAGGGAAAAAAAAATAAAAGGAAGAAAAAGGAAAAGAGCAAAGTTCGCTAATAACTTTATTACATTTTATTTTATTACTTCATATAATTTTTCTATTCATTCTCGTAATTCGTAATTCGTAATTTTTCACACACGTCGAAGGATCGAAAAAATAAAATGAATGGGATGAATAATCATTCGATCTATATGCATATAGATCCTCGGTTATATTGATCATCGTATATCCTTCTTTATTCCTACGAACTAACACATACAATTCTTATAAATTATACGAATAATGTTTTTTTTTTCCTTTTATTTTACTTCTTTTTTTTTCTTTTTTTTTTCTTTTTTTTTTTTTTTTTTTTTTTTTTATTAGTTCGTTACTCTCGCTATTCGTCGTCTGTCTATGTTTGTGCGTTTCTCTCTCTCTCTCTCTCTCTCTCTATCTTTATTTATTTATTATTTCGTTTTTATTTATTTGTATAGTTTTACAGAATAGTTAAAATATAAACTAATGGAGAGAGAGAGAGAGAGAGAGAGAGAATAAGAGAAAGAGAGTGAGAGTGAGAGAAAGAGAATGAGAGAAAAAAAATATATAAATCTGTATATATATATATATACAGGGTGGGCCAAAAGTTTTTAGGTGAGCCAAAAATTTTCCCAAGTGATATTAAAAACCTATTGGTCGTACATTTTCAAAATTTTTCAAGCGTGAATCGTGCTCGCGAATATTTTCCAAAGTTGATCTTTTTCATTGGTAATGTTTTTTTTTCGTTCCGTGATAAAGAAGACAGAAAAGATAAACGAAACAATAGAGGAAAACAAAATGTACGATTCTGAGAAAAAAAAAAAAAAAGAAGAAGAAAGAAATGTCTCGAGAAGAATCGATAGTTCTTCCTCTTTTCTTTTTCTTTTTTTAAAATCATTCAGAAGAAACTTCCTTTGGTCGACCTATTGAAAGACAAAACCTTTGACTCGGCCCTTTAATAAAAATAAATATCTAACGATAAGTACAAAAGCACGATTTTGTAGAACAGCTTGACGAATGTGTGTTAAATTATTATGTCCTTTTAACGCGTTAGATTAAAAGAAACAAACGAAAAGAAAAAAAAAAAAAAAAAAAAAAAGAAAGAAAAAAGAAAAAACAAAAACACAAAAAAAGAAACAAATTCTACTGTGGTTAATTAATTAATTAATTAATAATAATAATAATAATAATAATAATAATAATAATAATAATAATAATAATAATAATAATAATGATAATGATAATGATAATAATAATAATAATAATAATAATAATAATAATAATAATAATAATAATAACGATAATAACGGAGAAGAATTAAGAGAGAAAAAAAAATAAGAAGAAGAAAAAGGTCGAGACGTGAATTTGCGAGTAATAATAATTAATTAATCGAGTGAGAAAAAAAAAAGAAAAATAAAGAGAAAAAAAGGTAGAAAAAATAATAAATAAATAAAGAAACGCGATGATCTCTGGAGAGAGAGGGGAAAGAAAAAAAAAAAAGAAAAAGAAATAAAGAAAAAGAAAAAGAAAAAAAAAAGATAAATAAATAAAATCACGTCACGATAAATTTTTTCCTTCAAATTTTCAATAGAAATCGATGAAAACGATTCAATCGTTGAATTTCATTGGATAGTTTAATCAATTGCTCCCAAGAGAATATACATATATACATACATACATACATACATACATACGTACATATATACATTGATTTCTCTCTCTGGTAGTATCAGAACGAATCGACTCGTATTTCATCGGTTTATTTGAAGAACGTTCGCGTATACGACGTATGTATGTACAACGTGCTCGTGACACGGTGTATAATAAACCATACACAGGCCTCTGTATCAATCATTATTTGGTTTATAGAGAGTTCACGAGCTTTATATACATATATATAACTAAATACATGTATGTATATATATATATATATATATATATATATATATATGTATGTATTATTATTTTTAGATATTTTTAATTATTATTTTTATTATTATCATTATTATTATTATTTTTATTATTATTATTATTATTATTATTATTATTATTATTATTATTATTATTATTATTATTATTATTATTATTATTATTATTATTATTATTATTATTACATTTAAATTTGCCGCAGGGTATACATACATACATACATTTATATATGTATATATGTATGTATGTTTGTACATATATATATATATATCTATATATATAGTACATATATACGTAGGTATATAATCAACAGCTCCGGCTATTTGTTTAGCCTGAAATTCTTCGCTTTGGAATGGCCGCCTGTCATGGAATGATGTCATGGAGTATGTCAATTTCTTACTACCATTTCTATATTACTAACACTACTATTACTATTACTATTATTACTATCACTACTACTAGTATTATTACTATTACTATTACTATGACTATTACTATTACTATTACTATTACTAGTACTCCTATTGCTACTAATTATTTTCTCTCCGTTGAATTAGAAAGAAAGAAAGAAAGAAAGAAAGAACGAAAGAACGCAAGAAAGAAAGAAAGAAAGAAAGAAAGAAAAAGAATAGAAAAACAAACGAGAATTTTTTCGGCACGAGTACTGTTAATACTGTAATTTTTGTCTCTCGAACGAATGATTTTGACAAGGATGATTAAACAGAAAAAAAAAAGAGAGAGAGAGAGAGAGAGAGAAAGAGAAAGTAAAGATGAAGAAAGGAAAGTACAGCAGAGAAATATTTTTCAAAAATTCGAAACGATCGATCGACGATATATCTTTATTGTTACTTTTTTTTCTCTTTTTTTTTTTTTTTAACACTCTTCATTCCCTCCTGAATGATCACTCTTTCTCTCTCTCTCTCTCTCTCTCTCTCTCTCTCTCTTTGATCGACAAAGACGAACTGCAAGTTAGAGAGAGAGAGAGAGAGAGAGAATAACATATACTTCAACGATAAAATACAATTCGAATTAACGATCGTATCGTGTTGATCACTTTATGGAAGAAAGAAAGAAAAAAAAAAAAAAGGAATAAATGAAGAAAAAAGAAAAAAAGGGAAGAAGAGAAACGTTCGACTTCGTGAGGAAAAAAAAAAGTAGAGAAAGAGTGATAGAAAAGAGGGTTGGAGGGAAAGGAAAGAAGTAAAAAGAAAAAAAAAAAAGCGTCTATAAATTTATAAATAATTGGGCCAGGCCTCGACGCCGTATCGATGATATTGGGCATAAGGTGCGGATGATACATGTGTATGGCCCATTTGCATCGAATGATGTGGTGGATTGTGTAATGGCGCTATGTGACCAACCGGTGGTAATGGCGGCTGCAATTCGTGATACCTAACCATCTCTTGGGTTCTATCTTCCCAAGTAATTTCATTGATTGGATGTTCGGTACAATGACGTTTGCTAGGCCTCTCGGTTTCTTCCTCGTATCTGTGAAACATACATTTTTACACGTACACGCACATACATGCTCACATACATACATACTAACGTACATACATAAATACATACATATATACATAGATACACACGTACACATATATATGCAAATATATGGACAGATAAGATGAAAAAATAAAAATGAAAATAAAACTCGGGACAACAATTCTCAAATGAATTAAATCTCAATAATTATAAATCTATATATATATATATATATATATATATATATATATATATATATATATATAAATGTGGATGAAATAAATCGTCACGGGTTTTAATGTTCCTTGCAATTTTTTTCGTTTCTTTACGTTTTTTCTTTTTTTTTTCTCTCCCTCCCCTTTTTTTTTCTTTAAGCAGAGAAACTTCTTTCATATCTTTATTATCTTTTAGTTTTATTTATTTATTTATTTTATTTTATTTTTATTCTTTTTTTTTTTTTTTTTTTTTTTTTTTTTTTTTTTATTATTTTACTCTACCTATTCAATATCCATTGATTCGTTGTAGTAGTTGGTACAGGTGGATATTGCACAGGTGCAACCTGAGGTGGTAGATATTGGTCCAACTCGTTGCTTTCGACCTCGCACTCTTGTAAACTCAATGGTAGATTCAATCCAAATGTCCCAAGGCCATTCAATTGACTCTCCTCGACTGGTAAACCATCTCCAACTTCGATATATCGAAAATCAACCCCTGATGATTGTGGTGATTCGACCGACGTCGTACTGTTTACCAATTCTTGATGATAAAACGTATTGTTTTGTTGATGTTGATTACCCTATCAGAACAAAATCCATACGCGATACGGTTCTGTTTCTATTTTTTTTTTCTTTCTTTCTTCCTTCCTTCCTTCCTTCCTTCCTTTCTTTCTTTCTTTCTTTCTTTCTTTCAAACGAACGATTCAAATAAAAACTAACAAAGCTAAAGGGTGTAACGTGAAAGTTTTTTTTTTATGTAGTATTAAAGGATCTAAATAAAATCGTACGAAAGTTTTAATCGAAATTTATAAATAAAAAATTTAGACTTTATGATTAAGAAGAAAAAAGTAAAAAAGGACAACAAAGAAAAATATGTAATAATAATTTTTCATAAATTTATAAATTACCTGATTGACGTAATGTTGACCCCTAGGCGTTGTAGGTGGTGTTGGTAATGACAATCCTTGATTGGGGGTCGTCGATGGCGAAGAAGAATTAGCACCGCTCTGAGGTGAATTTGGCCCTTGTACACCTCTAGGACTCATGTCCTCTTGTTTTAAGGACTTTGACACGCTAAATATCAAATTACTTTGACTTCTTGACGGTGAACTGTCACGACCCGACGGTCCATTTGGTTTTCGCCGTCTTGGCTGATATTTGTAATCCGGATGTTCACGTTTGTGTATCACGCGAAGGCGATCGGCTTCTTCGATAAATGGCTTTTTATCGTTATCGGAAAGTCGCCTAAAGAAAAAAAAAACAAAAAAAAAAAAAACAAAAATAAAAATAAATATATATATATATATATATAGATCGTTTAAATTGTTCGTTTAAATTGTTCAAATTATATTACATCATATTACAATATTATATCGTTATTCTTACAAATTATATTTAAATCGTTCGTTGTAAAATTTTCATATATTTCTTAGATATACGATCTCTGTTATAATTTTTTAATCTATTTTATATATATATATATATATTTTTTATTTATTATTATAATTTAATGACAAGTTAATTTTTGTCTCGATAATAATTTGAATCATCAAAGTTACACTTTCGACAATTCCATTCTTTATATTTTATAATAAAGTTGTCAAAATAAAGAACTATTATATATTATAATTTAATAATAAATTAATTTTTTCTTTTAATCCAATCAATTTATGATCCAAAAAAAAAACATATATATATATATATATTAGAATATTTATAATATATATTATTTTAATGAATTATCTTACGAGGATTGAAATTTTGTTCGAACGAAAACGTAACGACGAGGACAATAAAGAAAAAAGACAAAAAATAGAATTCCTCTTATAGAAAAAAAAAAAAAAAAAAACAAACAAACAAACAAACAAATCAACACTTTCGTTCGTTCTCGATAATAACGGAAAGAAAGAAAGAAAGAAAGAAAGAAAGAAAGAGGAGAAAAGAATGGGTAGCGTTGTGGGATAGGGAAGAAAGTAAAGAAAAATTGTTTCGTAAATTAAAAAAAAAAAAAAATGGGAGAAAGAAAAAGAAAGTGAGAAAAACAAAAGAAAAAAAGAAACAAAAAAAAAAAAAAAAAAAGAAAAAAGAAAAAAGATCTATTAGCTCGCTCTTAATTTAGTCCTCGAATAATATCAAGAACGGATAACATTAAATATCAACATACATATTGAAACTTATTCAAGGAGCAACGTTCAAGCATAAAAGGGCGTTCGGTTTTATAGCTGTCGTCGGATTAACGTGATTCACGTATGACGCATGCACCGCATATTCTCTCAAAAGACGATTCGGTTGAGAGCCGTGAAGATCGTTTCAGTGGCAGGAGGAGGGAGGGAGAGAGGGTGGTGATGGTGGTGATGGTGATGGTGGTGGATCAAGGGAGTGCAAGGATAAGGAGATGGAGGAGGAGTTCGTTGAAGGTGACGAAGGGACGAAGAGGGAGAGAGGAGAGGTCGTCTTGTAAAGGAGTCTCGAAACGTTTCTATCAGCATCCGATTCTCTCTTCTTTTCGAGGAAGAGTGAAGAGAAGGTGCGACTTGCGAGATTGCGTCTGGTTAGTGTTCCTGGACTCTGGGCGTTAAGTCTCGAGAAGTCTAAGCTCGTAAAGAAACGCGCGAAAGCCATAACCATGGTGTCCATATATGTACATATATATATATATATGTGGTATGTATATGTTTCTATGTGTATACTAGAAAATAAGAGAAAGAATGAGAGAGAGAGAGAGAGAGAGAGAGACAGAAAGGTTTTGTGTTTACGTTCCCACTGGGCTCTCCTTAAAGACCCCTAAAGAACGATAAGGTTTTCCGGTATAATATGGAGTCACGAAAGTGTTCTTAAAAATCTCTTTTTCCTTCTTCTTTTCCATTATTTCTTTTCTTTTTTTTTTGCCCCTTTCCTTTTCCTTTTTGCCTTTTCTTTCTTTCTCTTTTTCTTTTTTTCCTCTTCGTTCGACCTATCCATATATTTCACTTTTCTTTTCTCGTTTCTTTTTTCCTCTCTCTCTCTTTCTCTCTCTCTCTCTCTCTTTATCTTTTTACATATATATATATATATATATATTTGGCTTTTTATTTTTTTTCTTTTTTTCTTTTATATATATATATATATATATATTTTTTGTTTGTTTGTTTGTTTGTTTATTTATTTGTTCTCTTTTCATTTATTTATTTATCTCTTCGTAATATATCATATCACGTGTAATAAAGATTCACGATCGATCGATCATCTTAGGATCACTTTTACGATCGCAAAAATGTAAGAACACCTTTTTTTTTTTTTCGACGTACATATGATAAATTCAAATCATTGAAAAGTTTTCATTTGTCATTCTCCTTATCAAAAACTCTTTTCTAATATTTTCGTTTTTAATACGATCCTTACGATCTGACGATCGCATTTCTATTTTTTTTTTTCTCTCTTTTTTTTTTTTTTTTTTTTTCTTCTAAAGAAGGAATGACGATTAATTCACGAACTTAGGTACGAATTATTTAACGAAACAATTCATGTTCCTATATTAACGATTATCATTAATTATTAACAATTATTTCCTAATTATTAACAATTATTTTACGTTTACTCGTCGTTTATTCGTCATTTTTATTTTTAGAATTAATTTTTGTTCCCTTCGCTTTTGAAATTCTTTTAATGATCTCTCATTTTTAAACGTTCGTACGATCATATTACATTACATTTTTTAAATGTAATAATTGTAAAAAAAAGAATAAAAGAAGATATTTGTCTCTCCTTCATACGATATTTAATTCTCGTGATTGTTACTCTAATGAATTCTAAGAAGATCAAATCTCGCTTTAATTAGTCTCCTCTCTCTCTCTCTCTCTCTCTCTTTCTCGTTCTCTCGTTCTCTCTCTCTCGTTCTGTCAAGATAAAATAAGAAGATGAAAATCAGACGGGAGTAATAGTTTCTTCGAATGATAAGAGATAAGAATTAGAAACTAAACCAAGACGTTGCTTAGATTCCTATCGATCTTATCAATCTAACTCATCTATTGTACAAACATAACTTCTTTCTCTCCCTCTCTCTCTCTCTCTCTCTCTCTCTCTTTCTGTCTTTCTGTCTCTCTTCCTTCCACGAAGTACCAATATACATTACTTCGTGTATATCTGTCTCTTAGAAATTTAAATCCCACAGTCTTGCAGAGCTCTTGACCAGCTCGAATGTATGTACGTATGTGCATTAAATGCAACGTTTTGCATCCTCGAGTTTAACGGATATATGTTTTGTCATGTGTCTTTAACAGTAGAGAGAGAGAGATAGAGAGAGAGAGAGAGACAGAGAGAAAGTGAGTGAAAGAGAGAGAGAGAAAGAGAAAGAAATAGAGATAGATAGATAGAGTGTGACAGAAAGAAAGACAGAGAGAGAGAGAGAGAGAGAGAGAGGAGAGAGTAGCATCTGGTCAATGGACTCTGTCTCAGTTTGACGTTTTTTCTATTTCTTTTGCTTTTTCTTTCTATCTCTCTCTCTCTCTCTCTCTCTCTCTTTCTCTTTCTTTTTTTCTGTTTTCTTTTTCTTTTTCTTTTCCTGTTCTTCGGCCTACCAACCAACCAACCAACCAACCAACCAACACGATAGCTTCTCCTCATCGCAGCCTCTTTTTCAAACGCCAGATGCAACACAGGATCAACCAATTAGGTTTACTACACTCTTCTTAACACTCTTCTTATCATATAATGGTATCGTCACTTTCTATCAAAATTCAATTCTATTTTCACGTTACGTTCAATACAATTTAATTATAAATCATTGAAATCCTGTATGATCTTGTAAAGATTGTTTAAAAAAAAAAAAAGAAAAAGAAAAGGTTTATTTATTCATTTATTCGATTTTATTCATTTCGTTTCCTGTTCCTTTCTCTTTCTTTGTTTCTTTGTCTATTCTTCCTTTCTTTCTTTTTTCTTTTTTCTTTTTTTTTTTTTTTTATCCAATCGTTGTTTAAAAACCTTTTTTCGTTGTATAAAAGTTTCTCTCTGTTCTTCTTCATATTGAAATATAATATAATGATGAAAAAAAAAAAAAATATATATATATATATATATATATATAAGAAATTGAATTTATAAATAAATAAATAAAAAAAAAACCACACACACACACACACACACACACACAACAAGCATATCTATATATGTACATGCATATTTTTTTATTCGTCATACGAAAATTTCTCTCTCTCTCTATTTCTCTATTACTTAAAAAAAAAAAAAAATAAAAAAAAAACAGAAAAGAAAAAAAAAGGAAGAAACTAAAAATTATTATGAAGGATGAATACTAGAAAAAAAAGAAAAAAGATAAAACAATAACACTTAGAATTAATCGACGCGATTAGATCAATTTCATCGATCATTTGTTATCTCTCTTTTTTTCTTTCTTTCTTTCTCTTCTTTTTTCTTTCTCTTTCTTTTTTTTTTTTCCTTCGCGAACATACTCACTTCTTCAAGTTATTCTAAGATAAAGTCAAATACATTCTCATCCGCATACACATTACATACACACACACACACACACACATATATGTATATGTATATATATTTCCAGGATATCCAGGTGTAGGTATATTGGTGCCAGAAATAAATCTCTTCCATAGCCGTAAAAATTTTCGTTGAAGAACGATTCGTCGCGTCGTCCGTTTGTAAGGTATATCACCATTGAAGATATTAGAAGGCGTGTTTGCCGACAAAAAGAAAACAGATATCACGGTTCATCCTTGGCGCGTGCTGGCAGCTGCTGGCCGGTTCCTGCTTGAGATAAAGGCCCACCATCAAGACTATCTATCTCATAACAACAATACCTTCCTTGTCCCTGTCAGGTGAATTTTTCCGAACCTGCCGTTTTCTTTCTCTTTTTTCTTTCTTTCTCTTCTTTCTTTCCTTTTTTTTTCCCCTCTTTTTCCCCTTTTCTCCGTCTCTTTTACTCCTTGCTTTTCCTTTCTTTGTTTTCTCTTTTCTCTCGTTTCTCTTCTTTTCCTTTCTCCTCCACCTCTTTTCTTTCTTTTCCTTCTTAATTATGTTTTCTTTTCTTTTTCTCTTACTCTTTCTCTCCTCCTCCTCCACCTCCTTCACTACTTCTCCCCCATCCACTTTTTCGTCCTTATTAATTCGTGCTAATTGAAGGTAAATTTCGTAAGATAAATTTTTTTCGACGAGTCCCATTTATCACGTCGAAAATCATGATCTAATAGGTAATTTCAGTTTTGTTTATTTCTTTTCTTTTTCTTTTTTTTTTTTTTTTTTTTTTTTCTTTTTCGTTTTCTTTTTTCCTTACTCTTTATGAGAAATCAAAAGAAGAAAACTAAAGTACGTATACAGTGAATCGTATTTTATCACATGAAATATTATAAGTTAGAATCGAGACAGAGATATATTATTCCGTCTAATTCATCTTCGTGAGATTTTTCTTTTTTTTTTTCCTAGATTATAAAATGAGAACATACGAATACAGCAGACATAAAAAAAAAAAAAAACGCACAACGCGTAAGCGAGCTCGTGCATTAAAATAATTTGCGGGGTATTTTTTTTTCTTCTTTTTTTTTTCTTTTTTTTTTTTTTTTTTTTTTCCATAAATTTTTCTAAATAAATACAATTTAAAATTATCGTGATAATGAAATTTTTCCATGCATCATTTGGAAAATGCAAATCTACACGAATACCGTAATAGCCATTATTTAATATTAAAATAATATCGTAGACTTTTTCAACGAAAGAACAAACTTTTCAAACGAACACGATCTCGATTGAACAATTAGAGATAAACATTTGACCCCATTAGAGATAAACATTTGTCCCAAACATTAGGGACTTTTGACCGGCCCGATGATATGTATATTTTTAAATCGTCTTAGTCATTGACAGTAAAAGTTCACTGACAGTATTCTCAAAATAATTCACATTCCAAAGTAAATTGTGTTAATTGACATTAGGCCCATTTCAAAGGTGCTAAATAATTACTTTTTAAGAGGTAAAAAAAAAAAAAAAAAAAAAAAAAAAAAAGAAAAAAAAAAGAAAATAAAAAGAACTATTTGCTAACCTCCGTCCTCTACGTCCCCCTCCTCCTCTCTCACTCTCTCTCTCTCTCTCTCTCTCTCTCTCTTTAATTTCATCAAAATTTTTTCAATTATCATTGAATTTACATTGAAGATAAGATAATCGAAAATTGATATTATATATATATATATATATATATATATATATATATACATATATATTAAAACGATGCCCCATAGATAATTCTTCCGCATTTATTCGTTCCACTTTCGAGACAAGTGAGACGAAGGTTTCATTGGGAAATCGATCGGCTATCGGATCGACTATCGGCTATCGGATCGGATCGGATCGGATCGAATTGCGATCGAAGTCGGTATATAATAAAATGATTCGCGATGGGGGGCCTTGTCGGCGGGTCCTCTGATGATCTCTTGTGAGGGCTCGCTGGGGGCCCCTCGTTAGTCCCAACCAGGAAATGAAATCGTCTTCGAGTCATCCCTTCTCTCTCCTCTTTGAATTTTATTTTTAGTTAAATACGCGTACGCCTAAGTCCGACCGTATCTCTTTCTACTTTCACAATTTGAAATAACAAAAAGGAAGAAAAGAATTTCTATTGGTCTTTATAAAGGAAAAAAAAATAAAAAAAAGAAAAAAAAAGAGAGAAAAAAATAAAAGAAAGAAAGGAATTATACTTTATGACGATATTATACGATAAATGATAATAAAATATTATGTAATAATAATAACAATAAATTATATAATAACAAATATTATATATATATATATCCTATCGACTGTAACGTTTAAAATATAATATATCGATTCGATTTAATCGAATGATATTTTTTTATTTTATAATTTTATTATAAAAAGAAACATTAATTTTGTTTTATAATTTTTGTTAAAATTCTTTCCTTTCTCTTCTCTTCCTATTTTTTTTTCTCTTTCTTTTTTCTTTTTTCTTTCTTACCCCTCTTCTCTCCTTTCCATCCTTATTTTTCTTTTTTTTTCTTTTTCTTTTCATTTCCTTTCATTTTAATCTTTCTCTTTTCTCTTTCCTTCTTCTTTTTTCCTTTTACTCTTTTCTTATTCTTTTTTTTTTCATTTTTATCAAAACATCCAAACCTACTCCGAATGTTTCAACTTTATTTTATGGATCCCGTACTCGTTTAAGTTGATACTTCGAACGATTTAATTTTGTTTTCTCTTTTTTTTTTTTTTTTCTTTTTATTTTCTGACGTGTTCGAAGTTTTTCAAGGATCTAGATCACACGAAGTATCGGTTAAATGTTGAATACATTCGTCACTCATGAGTCCAATGCACGATTCACATTATTTCTTTCGAGCAACAGGGGGAGGGTGGGGGGAGGACACACACTTGTAACATACCACGTGTAAGCTTTGGCGCCACGTGGTAAGAACGTGTCTTTAATATTATATATATATATATATATATATGCATTTTTGTTCGTAAAAAAAAAAAAAAAAAATAAAAAAAAAAAATTGATACAAATAACGTCCCTTCTAACGAATCTAATGAATATCTTTTTTCTTTTTTGTATTAATCAATTTTTCTATGATAATTTTCAATATTGTACGACTTGTTTGTTCGTAAAAAAAAAAAAAAAAAGAAATAAAAAATTGATACAAGTAACGTCCCTTCTAACGAATCTAATGAATTTCTTTTTTCTTTTTTGTATTAATCAATTTTTCTATGATAATTTTCAATAATTAATATATTGATATATTGTAAGATTTGTTAGAAAAAAATACGACGAATTTGTCTTTTAAAGATTGTTGATGATAATAAAAAATAAAATATATATATATATATTTTTTTTTCCACGAAGTAAAACGCTCTTGGTTCGCGCTTAAAAGATCATGAAAGACGATTCTCGTCTTTCTACATGGCCGGGTGCTCGCAGCTTGCCAAGTTCGCATCTGTGAGAATCGTTCTTATCTGATTGAGAATGGAAAGGCAGCCGATTGAAGACACGTGGTGCCGATTAATTTTATCGGGACGGTGCCTTTCCGACTAACCGCGAAACGGAAATTCTTTAACAGACACAAATACGATTTGAATAATAAGAAAACGAAATCGAATCTGTTATCTCGAAATGTTTCGTAAAAAAAATAGGAAAAAAAAAAAAGAAGAAGAAATAAAGAAAATGAGAGAAAAAAAATTTTATCCCTTTCATTTATATATACGAACGTAATAACGTATGATAAGCGTGTTATTTTCAAATATCGAAAACATATATATAATATATAATAATATTTTATATGTTGATTAAATGTATGATTAAATTATATATATATATATATTTATTTTCTATTATCTAACATTTTCAAAGATCACTATTTTATCATCATTATATACATATAAATTTTTTTTATTATAGGAATATTTTATATATATATATATATATATATATATATTTTTTTTTATTATTATAGGATTGCAAAATATTACAAGAATATTTTACATTGAAAAATAAATATGTCACCTTAAAATATCATAAATATATATATATATATATATGTATATATATAAATATAAATATATATAAAATCACTATTTATTCATATATAGACATATGTATATCAATCAATCAATCTTTTTATTATAGATATATTTTAAATGAAAATTCATAATTCTCTTGTAATAAAAATTAAAAAAGATTATTATTTTCTTTCTCCTTTTGTTTGTTACAATTTCTCTATAAATATTTTCATTACAGCAAAGGAACGTATGTATTTGAACGTATCAAACTCACCGCCATAATTTTCCCAATGTTTTCGACAGTTCGGCATTATGAAGTTGTGGATGTTGATCGGCCAATCTCCGCCTGGCAGCCTGTGCCCACACCATAAAAGCATTCATTGGTCTCTTCACGTGTGCCGCCCTTTTGTCGCCGGAGCCCCTGCAATTAGTAGACATTATCTTCATTGGAAGCGATTTTTTTTCACCTATCCTTCAAATAATTCCTTTCGTCCAAATTTTCATGGTTTTAAGATGACGATAAAAAGAAAAAGAAGAAGAAGAAGAAGAAGAAAAAAGAAAAAAGGAAATATTAAGAATATCATTATCGGCACTCTCGTTAAAAGTAGGAAATAATGAGGCAAGGGAAAGTGAAACTGAACAAAACAAAAAGAAAGAAAAGAAAAAAGAAGAAGAGAAAGAAAATAAAATTGATTGCGTTAGGCCAGATAATCCGCTGACTTGGCAGAAGTAAATAAAACGATGGGCAACGTTTAAAGATTCGAATTTTTACCTAAACTCCTTTCCCTCGTCTCATCCCACCCCTCCCCTCCCCCGGCCCAATCTCCTAACCCTATTCCCATTCCATTTTTCTAATCTCACCTCTAACCCTCGCCACACTCAATAATACCACCAATACCATTATCATCGTCATCATCATTACCACCACCATCATCATCAGCAACCCTTCTCGTTTCTATTCGATCTACCGAGTGAGCTTTATTTCTAAGGCTGGCCTTAAAATAACACTGCCGATGTTAAAACGTGTGACGGCTTTCGAATGGGACGTATATCCCTTTCTTTCCAAGAAGATGACTTCATAAAACTTTAACCCAGGGTCCTGAACGAGAACGTGACGGACGTGATTGCTGCCACCTCTCTCTCTCTCTCTCTCTCTCTCGCTCCCACTTTCGTATTTTCTTTCTTTGATTAATCGAACTTCATCTTGATCATACTCGTTTCAATTTCTTTTTATTCTTTTTCTGATTTTTTTCCTTTATTTTTATTTTTTTTACTTTTTTTTCTATTTTTTTTTTCTTTTTTTTTTTTGTATATACTGTATATCGAAATATCGTACAATGATCAAATTAGAGAAGTGAAGATATGTTTTCTTTTTTAGATATATATATATATATATATATATTTTATATATAAATTATATGTGATATAGAAATATAATATACGAATATTTATTATACTATATGTATAACACAATATATATATATATATATATATATATATATATATATATGTATAATATATGAATTAATATAATATTAAGTGTGAAGATACAAGTAATAAAACATTGTTAAAGCAATAAATATATATTTATATAATGTAATATAATACTAATTTTTTATTGTATCCGATGATATTTTACGATAATAATTTATTATTTTTTGTGACAAATTTATTGAAATAATATTATATAATAATTTTTACATAACAATTTTATCACTTCTATCTTCAATTGTATAATATTAATCACAATTTTAATATAATAATATATATATATATATATATACATACACATATAAATATATCCTATATATAAACAAACGAGTGAACGTTTGAAATGACAGATTGATCGTAAAAGAAAAAAAAAAAGTAGAGAGAAAGAGAGAGAGAAAGACAGGAAAGAGACGAGAAAAAAAGGGAGGAAAAAGGATAGAGAAAAATAATTTTTTTAAATTGATCGATCGATCACAACGACAAACGGGCCGATAAAAATCGACGTGAACTTTCGAGATATTCGAATAGAGTCTCGTATATTTTCGGGCTCTTTGAAATAAGAGGGGCGTTAAATCCGTGTGTAAACCGAAAGAGCCGTTTGTAATTAGCGTGGGCCCACTAACAAGGCGGTTTTCACGGCGATGGTTCGTCGCAAACGCTGAGCTTGGTCGGGAGTGTGAGCGCGCGCGCGCTCGTTCATGGTTTACCTAGATACGCAAAAAAAAATTTTTAAAGTCTTTTACACCTCGTTTACATCGACTTACGACTTACGTTAATACTACTACTACTACTACTACTACTATTACTACTACTACTATTACTATTACTACTACTAATGTTTTTGCTAGTAAAACCTACTCAACCTAAAACGTTTGTAACGTGACTACATTTCTAACACGCCTTTTTTTTTTCTTTTTTTCGTTTTTTTCTTCTCTTTTTTTTTCTTTTTCTTGTTTCTTTTTTTTTTTTTTTTCTTTTTCTTCGTTAGAATAAAAATCCTTTTGGGAAAGTCGCTTCACGAAACTCCTCTCGTAAATGTAAAAAGAAATTCTTTTTCTTTTTCTTTCCTTTCGTTTCCTTTTTTTTCTTTTGTTTCATCTCGAACGAGATCTATCGAACGTAACTTTCGATCGAAAGATATATCGATAAGTGATATTTCAAAAAAAAAAAAAAAAAGAAAAAGAATATATATATATATATATACTCTCGAAATAATTTCAACTTTCTAATGTGGGGATTGGTGGGGGAAACTTTTGTCTCTTTAATTTTTCTTCTTCTTTTCTTTTTAAATCGACACTATTAAATCCGATTGGAAACAAAACAAAAAAAAAAAAAAAAAAAAAAAAAAATAATAATAATAATAATAATAATAATAATAATAATAAGTAAACGAATTTAATCGTATCTTATCAATTCGAGATGAAAAAAAAAAAGAGAAAAGAAAAAAAAAATGATTAATCTACGTGATCGACAAATATCGATAAGGTTCATTTAAAAAGAAATTAAACGATCGAACCAGTCAAATAATTTCGATTTGTTCGACGTAAACAGATAAAGGAATCTTCTATTTATTTATTTTTTTATTTTTGTTTTTTTGTTTTTTTTTTTCTTTTTTTAATATCAATATTATCAATACGATTAATAAGACGATCAAATAATGGATACAGATTTAATCTATAATAGGGATATAATGTAAAATCGAACAAACGTATTCGATAGCTTGAGAATAAAAATGTGTTTCATTAAAGGTAAACTTTCAGGAGTTAATGTAAATATGGATAGAGAAGGAAAAAAAAGAGAGAGACAGTGAGAGAGAGAGAGAGAGAGAGAGAGAGAGAGAGAGAGAGAGAGAGAAAGAGATAGAGGGAGAGATACATAAATTCTCATAGAGAACTCTCATGGGAATTAAAAAACAGTCGATTTTATCGGACCCCCGTATCAGTAGAAATAAACACGGTACCCTTTACTACACATCCAGAGATAACTCTCATATAATTGAGAGTTAGCGATAAGCCGGCTGGCATGTAGAACCGACGCCGCACGAGAATATGAATATATCCAACTCTCTTGCATTTCTACAATCGTTTTCAGATACGGCATTATAACGATTTTTAATTTATAATATTTTCAAAACCATTTAATCTTCTTAATGAGCGAACGGTCAGGGAGGAGCGGGCAAAAAGAAAGAAAGAAAAAAGAAAAAAAAATACTCTTAACGATCAACAATTTTTCTTACGGGAATTGAACTGAGTACTGATGGAGCCGTGGGGCGAGGGGGGGGGGAGGTTTGGTGGAGAGAGAGAGAGAGAGAGAGAGAGACGGAGGAAGGGACAATCTCGAAATTTTTTGTACAAAATTTGATTAGTTAAAAATTTTCTTAATCCCATCCCTCCTCCTTGTGTAATGTTTGATATTTGTTAAAGAAAAAAAAAAAACAAAAAAAAAAAACAAAAATAAAAAGAAGAAAAGATAAAAAGTATCCTCTGCCAAAGTAATAGCGTCGTATAATATGTATGTATAAAGACGAAAAAAAGACGAAAAAAAACAAAAAAAAACAAAAAAAAAAAGGAAAAAACGTTCCATTCAAGGTTCTAATCTCGCATTACCGACGAGAGAGGCAATTATAAGACACCAGATCACCGTGTGCACTCCTTTAGTTGCGTCATTTTTCTCGAACTTAAAGGCCATCGAGACGATTATATCGAACGAAGTTGTTAGAACACAGCATCCGACGGGATGCTGCAACCTCTTTGATCGTAAAATCTTAATACATCTACATATATATATATATATATATATATATATATATATATTTCTGTCTATGTTACTCAATGAAAAAAAAAAAAAAAAAAAAAAAAAAAAGAAAATATATATATATATGTAAATATATATACGTGCTTGTAGAGATTTTATTTTGAATTAATTGAAAAAGAGAGGAACAAAAAAAAAAAGAAAAAAAGAAAAAAACAAAAACAAAAAAAAAAACAAAGAAAGAGAAAAAAGGGAATTAAAAAAAAGAAAAAAAAAGAAATTTCTTATTTCTTAAATGAATTATTTTTCTTAAATGAATTCTTCTTTGTTTTTTTCATCCTTATGTCAATTTTTAAAAAATACATATGTCATGGCATTCAATGCAATAAGGAACCCACCTTAAAGGAATAGATTTAAGAGAATGAAAATTTTTAAAGGAATAAGTATTATAAGACATTGCGATCGAGTATTAATTAGCTAATTTACGTTAATTGGCAAGCGAGGACATTTTTCCTCGCTTAAGTCGTTTCCCAGGCCGTGGAAACGGGTGCGTCATAATTGAGTTAGCGTCACGTATTTTTAAAACCTCTCTCCCCCTTAGCCCCTTTGCTCAACCCCTCTCGCCTTCCCTCTTCATCGCCATATTCCTATCGTCGTCTTTCTTCGCGTTTTCTTATATTTTTTTTTCTCTCTTCTTTTTTTCCCC